GTGTGTGTGTGTGTGTGTGTGTGTGTGTGTGTGTGTGTGTGTGTGTGATAGCACCTGGAAAATGACAGCCAAAGTTATCATTTGACCATCTCACACACACACACACACACACACACACAAACTCACACATACACACTCATACATTTGCGAACACAAATACACTTGTAAGCATACACACACACATATATACACAAGCACAAGAATGAAAGACAGAAAAGAGAACAGCATATTTGCATAGTGCTTGAACATGCATTAAAAATACTTTGGTCTTAAGCTTCAGTGCCTCTAGTATCATATAAGCTAGAAGAAAGGCAGAAGGAGGCCCGAATCTTTCCCTTGCCTATCGTGGAAGTAAAAAGAAAAGCCATTTGAGCCCAAGATTAAAGCCCCAGATTGGGATGAAAGGCCTTCAGAGTATAGCTTTCTATTTCCCACTTCCCCCATCGCAGATGAGTTTATTACCCCTAGGGCCTCTGAGCTTGACATTCTGTGCTTGACCAAATGTCCTCCAAGCATTTGTAAAACCTGACCCCTCCCCACATTTTTGCTGGAAAATTAAGTAGCCTTTTTACTGGTTTATTTACTATTCTAAGTGCTGGGATCCTTCTTCCCCTCAGTCTGCTAAATTATAACCAGTCATATAAATATTCTTTTTATTTTTAAGTTCAGGGTTGAAATGAAAAGCTTTGAGGGTTACCAAAAAAATGTTATTCTTAAGAGAAAAACATATGCCTGGAAACTTAGCCCCATGGGCAAATGCTAAAAGACTGTTTTCTCTTTCTTTCTTTCTTTCTTTCTTTCTTTCTTTCTTTCTTTCTCTCTCTCTCTCTCTCTCTCTCCCTTCCTTCCTTCCTTCCTTCCTTCCTTCCTTCCTTCCTTCCTTCCTTCCTTCCTTTCTTTCTTTTTCTGGATTTGAGTCCTGATGCCTGCAAATTGTGGCCAATAAATACCAGTCAGGACTTCAGGCTTTGGGTGGTAAGGTGTGGGTTCCATAAGTGACAAGGGAACAAGGCTGGGATTTAAGAAAGGTGACCTTTGACTGAGTGGCATAGAATCAGGTATGGTGCTTCCCTCACTTGACAACAGTTGCCATCTCTAATGGGGTGAGACACGTTTGTGGACAATGAATTCTGCACATGCGTGTTTAAAACCTGATTCTAGGAATCAAGTAAAACTTCACAACTCCATCATACTAACAATAGATGGATGAGTGTGGTATGAATGAATGAGAAGGCTGGGTACAGAGCACACTCTTGAATCCTCCCAACTCTTAGACCCATCCTTTCCCTGGCCTTATTAGCAGCAAGAACAAAAGACACCAGAGCTATATTG